AGGATGCTCTGTAGGGGTTTTATTTTTTTACTTTTTATTGTTAAATATTTTTTAATTGATTTCAGAGAGAGGAAGGGAGAAGAGAGAGATAGAAACATCAGTGATGAGAATCAATGATCAGCTGCCTCCTGCACGCCCCCTACTGGGGATTGAGCCCACAACCTGGGCGTGTGCCCTTGGCTGACTCGAACCTGGGACCCTTCAGTCCACAGGCCGACGCTCTATCCACTGAGCCACACCAGCCAGGGCCCCTGCGGGGGTTTTAGATAACTTTCCTCCTGGGGGGTGTCCCCCACCTAATTTAGTAGAAATCTCATCCCCCCCCCCCCAGTGGGTGTCTCTGGCATCATGATAACCTCTTCCTGCTCTGATAGGGCCGGTCCGGGGTGGCTTATGGGGCTCCCAGGGAAGGTGTGCAGGGGCAGCGCTGTGGCAGGCCCAGGGCCCACACCAGCCAGCTGTCAGGGTGCCACCCTGCATGAGGCTGCCCAGCTGAATGCCTGCTGCCACCAGGGTGCTGCGCCTCACCCGCCTGCCAGCCGAGATCGTGGAGCTCAGCGAGCCAATGCAGGTGGTGCGGTATGGAGAGGGCGGCCACTACCACGCCCACGTGGACAGTGGGCCTGTGTACCCAGAGACCATCTGCTCCCACACCAAGCTGGTGGCGAACGAGTCGGTGCCCTTTGAGACCTCCTGCCGGCAAGTACCTCCCACCTGGGGGCGGCCTAGACTCTGCGACCAGACACACCCTGCCTTGTGGGCAGGCCCTGGGCTACCTGTCAAGGGTACGCCTGCCTGTCCCCCAGGTTGTTTACCCAGTGTCAGGAAAGGGGTGGCCATCTTGTCTCAGTGGCCAGACTGAGGTACCCGCAGACACTGAAACTGGTCTCCAGGGCTGTGAGGCAAGTGGGGAAAGGCCAGAACCCCAGCTCTTTCTGCCGCTCCCTGGGTGCTGATCCTGCCTCCCAAGCTGGCCTTGGTTGGGGCCCTGGGATCTGAGTGCACCTGGGATCTTGGCTGCCATAAACTCTAAGACACAGAAGGAGACTAGGTTTGTGGGGAGAATGGGCTGGGGACACCTTGGTCCTGCCCTGCCCTCTGGCCCTTGGGAACCTGGGCAGCTCCTCCTGCCCTCGGCGGGCATTGATCAGTGCGCCTGCCTTACAGCTACATGACCGTGCTGTTCTACCTGAACAACGTCACCGGTGGGGGCGAGACTGTCTTCCCTGTCGCAGACAACAGAACCTACGACGAAATGGTAAGCCCACCAGGCTGCTGCCCGGGCGTGGGGCACACGTGGCACTGCTCTCTACACCTGGGAGCAGAGCCCAGGGCACACCTGGTTTCCCTCTGCCACCTGGCCTGGCTCCTGGCCAGTCAGTGGGGGCAGCTGAGAATCTCGCCGCCCTCCTGCCCACAGAGCCTGATTCAGGATGACGTGGACCTCCGGGACACTCGGAGGCACTGCGACAAGGGCAATCTCCGTGTCAGACCCCAGCAGGGCACAGCTGTCTTCTGGTACAACTACCTGCCCGACGGGCAAGGTGAGGGCCTTGGGCAAGCTCCCTGTACCAGCCCCAGCGCCGTCCTGGTGGGCAGTTTCTGGCCCTAGTGCCTCCCCCAACCATCCGCAGTGGCTCTGGGGCCGCTCCCTGGGTTACCCCTACCCCTGGGACTCCCTGGTGCCCTAGCCGTCAGCTCGCTGGGACTGGGGACGCATCCTTACCCACCCAGGCTGGGCAGGGCTCGGGACAGGCTCGGCTAGACAGCTGGGTTTCCAGGGCCAGTGGGTGGACGAAGCAGTAACTGGTGAGAGGTGCTGAGCCGCCACGGTGGCGGGGCCAGATGTTTGCCGGGGGGAGGAGGTATGCACAGCAGGGCCGTATCCCTGGCCAAGCCCAGGTCTGCCCAGCCTGGTGCCGCTGGCCCCCTCCCTGGCTCACACCAGGCCCCTCTCCTAGGCTGGGTGGGCGACGTGGACGACTACTCGCTGCACGGGGGCTGCCTGGTCACTCGTGGCACTAAGTGGATCGCCAACAACTGGATCAATGTGGACCCCAGCCGAGCGCGGCAGGCGCTGTTCCAGCAGGAGATGGCGCGCCTGGCCCGGGAGGGGGGCGCC